AAGCGGATCTGATATATCAAACGTGCTGGAATGAGAGTTAAAATCCTGGCATAAGCAACGGAGTGGGTCGTGCAATTCAAAAGTGGTTTTACAAGCTTTCAGAAATATGGGACAAAAGTGTCTTGATACGCGTGACGGAACATTAAAGCTTACATCAGCTAGAAGAGACGGACTTGAAATTGAGCCTGTCAGTAATTTAACCATAAAAATTATACCAAGCATTTCCCTGCGACTGGCAAGTGTAGGAAGGTTAATAAGTTTTAAGCGACTCGTATAAGGTGGAAGACTATATTGAGAATCCCATCGGAAATTTCTTAAAGCAAAAAGTAGGAATTGTTTTTGAATTGATTCTATCTTGTCTGAGTAAATTTGATACCTTGGATTCCAAACCACCGAGCCGTATTCCAGAATCGGCCTAACTAATGTTGTAAACAGGGTTTTAGTGATATACGGGTCACTAAATTCTTTTGACCATCGTTTCACAAATGCAAGTACACCTTTAGCCTTGTTGACTGTCACATTAATGTGAAGATTAAAATTAAGCTTAGGATCCATTGTGATACCAAGGTCCACAAAATTGTATACCTGTTCCAGGTTATGGTTACCTATTATATAAGAAACTGGCAGAACAGCTCTTCGCGAGAAGCACATTACTTTACATTTCTTAAGATTTAGAGGCATAAGATTTACTTTACACCAGTAAGCCATGCTGTTTAAGTCTGATTGTAGCAAAGACCTTTCTTCAATTGAAACGTACGATTTATAAAGTTTTACATCATCTGCATACATTAAAATTTTGGAGAATTTTATATCTGTAGAAATATCGTTTATAAAAAGCAAGAACAGAATCGGGCCTAGGTGGCTACCCTGAGGGACTCCTGAAGTAACATCAATGACGTCAGAGATAGTATTTTTAAACAATACCCTTTGTGATCTATCATAGAGGTATGAAGAGATCCAACGTAGAAAATTAGGTGGAAGACCAAGAAGATCAAGTTTATAGATGAGCAACGAGTGGCACACTTTGTCAAATGCTTTACTGAAATCAGTATATATAACATCAACAGTTTTGCTCTCACTAAATGCTTTTGAGATATAGGATGTTAATTCAAGTAAATTTGTAGAAGTTGATTTGCCCTTGCAAAATCCATGTTGACTGTATGAAATGCTTGAAGTGATAGAATGCGTCAACCGATTTGTTATAATTGCTTCAAATAATTTAGGAATTGCAGAAAGCTTAGCTATGCCCCGGTAGTTCTCCACTGAAGACCTGCTACCGCTTTTATGTAAGGGGGTTATGAACGATTCCTTCCATACAGTTGGAAAAACGCCCTCTTTAAGAGACAAATTAAGTAAGGCTGTTAACGGCTCATAGAGATAATCAGCACAATTTCTAAGAAAACAAGTGGGGATCTGGTCAGGACCATAACTAAAAGACTGCTTTAAGGACTTCAGGTAAACTAAAACATCATCGGGAGATATTATAGGGTTATGTATTGAGTTAATTGGACTTAGTTTAAAAGGATAGTCAAAGTATGCTTGGGAGTTAGTGGAATAATTGGATTTAAAAAACTGAGCGAACATGTTAGAAATTGTTTGATTATCACCAGAGACGGTATTTTGATACTTCATGGCGGAAGGAAACCCACGTACATTTCGCTTGGAGTTTACGAAATCATAAAATGATTTGGGGTTATATATTATACGTCGTTTGATTTTACACAAGTAATCTTTATAACACTTTTTGTTTAATTCAAAGAACTTTTGACGCAAAAGTGAGTATTTTACAAAGTATGAGTGTAAGCCGGTTTTTTTGTGTAATCTAAAATAACGTGACTTTCTGTTTTTCAAGTTTCTCAGTTCTTTAGTGAACCATAACTGTGTTTGTTCTACAGGAACACAAATGCGTTTAGGCACATACTTTTCAAATAATCTATGTACAGTAAAATTAAAATGTGCAACGCTTTGCTCAACTTTTTCTTTGTATATAGGCCACGACAATTTAGACAATTCTTTATTCAGTTTTTTAAAGTTGGCTTGCGAAAAATCAAAGCGAATATTTGGCTCGTATGTTTGGATATCGCAATTTTGACCATCGTTTATAATTTCGTAAGATATCTCAATAGCAGGGTGGTAGACATCTTCGGGCAAAACTAGTGGGTCACATTTATTTACAGCCGACTTAGATGCATCATCAACATAAACAAGATCTAATACTTTGCCAAACTTATTGCGAAGTACATTAACTTGATTCAGGCAGAGTTCAGCCATCTCCTCTAAAAATACGTTGTTGCACGCGCTAGACGAGAAAGGTACAATATCATTGTCAATGATGTTCCATGATACATTTGGTAAATTAAAGTCACCCAACACAATCAATGAATCAGAGGGTTTAATCATTGAATTAATTGATTTCAGTAAAGATACATGTTGTGAATACACTGATAAGTCAGATCGGGGAGGAATATAGCATAGAGCTAAGTAAGTAAACCCCCTTCCAACCTGAACACGAATGCATTTGAATTCTGCAGATTCGATGTGTGGAAGACTAACTTCTTCAGATGGTATTGAAGAGTCTACGGCAAAGAGTACGCCACCGCCGACTCTGTCCTCCCGATCTTTTCTGTAGATATGATAATTATTTGAAAGAATCTCTGAATTAAAAGTGTGAGGTTTGAGCCAAGTTTCAGTCAAAGAAATTATATTATAATTGCATTCAAGGCCATTAAGATATA